TGTACCTGAATCAAGGAACTGTACCTGAATCAAGGAACTGTACCTGAATCAAGGAACTGTACCTGAATCAAGGAACTGTACCTGAATCAAGGAACTGTACCTGAATCAAGGAACTGTACCTGAATCAAGGAACTGTACCTGAATCAAGGAACTGTACCTGAATCAAGGAACTGTACCTGAATCAAGGAACTGTACCTGAATCAAGGAACTGTACCTGAATCAAGGAACTGTACCTGAATCAAGGAACTGTACCTGAATCAAGGAACTGTACCTGAATCAAGGAACTGTACCTGAATCAAGGAACTGTACCTGAATCAAGGAACTGTACCTGAATCAAGGAACTGTACCTGAATCAAGGAACTGTACCTGAATCAAGGAACTGTACCTGAATCAAGGAACTGTACCTGAATCAAGGAACTGTACCTGAATCAAGGAACTGTACCTGAATCAAGGAACTGTACCTGAATCAAGGAACTGTACCTGAATCAAGGAACTGTACCTGAATCAAGGAACTGTACCTGAATCAAGGAACTGTACCTGAATCAAGGAACTGTACCTGAATCAAGGAACTGTACCTGAATCAAGGAACTGTACCTGAATCAAGGAACTGTACCTGAATCAAGGAACTGTACCTGAATCAAGGAACTGTACCTGAATCAAGGAACTGTACCTGAATCAAGGAACTGTACCTGAATCAAGGAACTGTACCTGAATCAAGGAACTGTCCCTGAATCAAGGAACTGTACCTGAATCAAGGAACTGTACCTGAATCAAGGAACTGTACCTGAATCAAGGAACTGTACCTGAATCAAGGAACTGTACCTGAATCAAGGAACTGTACCTGAATCAAGGAACTCTACCTGAATCAAGGAACTGTACCTGAATCAAGGAACTGTACCTGAATCAAGGAACTGTACCTGAATCAAGGAACTGTCCCTGAATCAAGGAACTGTACCTGAATCAAGGAACTGTACCTGAATCAAGGAACTGTCCCTGAATCAAGGAACTGTACCTGAATCAAGGAACTGTACCTGAATCAAGGAACTGTACCTGAATCAAGGAACTGTACCTGAATCAAGGAACTGTACCTGAATCAAGGAACTGTACCTGAATCAAGGAACTGTACCTGAATCAAGGAACTGTACCTGAATCAAGGAACTGTACCTGAATCAAGGAACTGTACCTGAATCAAGGAACTGTACCTGAATCAAGGAACTGTACCTGAATCAAGGAACTGTACCTGAATCAAGGAACTGTACCTGAATCAAGGAACTGTACCTGAATCAAGGAACTGTACCTGAATCAAGGAACTGTACCTGAATCAAGGAACTGTACCTGAACCAAGGAACTGTCCCTGAATCAAGGAACTGTACCTGAATCAAGGAACTGTACCTGAACAAGGAACTGTACCTGAATCAAGGAACTGTACCTGAATCAAGGAACTGTACCTGAATCAAGGAACTCTACCTGAATCAAGGAACTCTACCTGAACCAAGGAACTGTACCTGAATCAAGGAACTGTACCTGAATCAAGGAACTGTACCTGAATCAAGGAACTGTACCTGAATCAAGGAACTGTACCTGAATCAAGGAACTGTACCTGAATCAAGGAACTGTACCTGAATCAAGGAACTGTACCTGAATCAAGGAACTGTACCTGAATCAAGGAACTGTACCTGAATCAAGGAACTGTACCTGAACCAAGGAACTGTCCCTGAATCAAGGAACTGTACCTGAATCAAGGAACTGTACCTGAATCAAGGAACTGTACCTGAATCAAGGAACTGTACCTGAATCAAGGAACTGTACCTGAATCAAGGAACTGTACCTGAATCAAGGAACTGTACCTGAATCAAGGAACTGTACCTGAATCAAGGAACTGTACCTGAATCAAGGAACTGTACCTGAATCAAGGAACTGTACCTGAATCAAGGAACTGTACCTGAATCAAGGAACTGTACCTGAATCAAGGAACTGTACCTGAATCAAGGAACTGTACCTGAATCAAGGAACTGTACCTGAATCAAGGAACTGTACCTGAATCAAGGAACTGTACCTGAATCAAGGAACTGTACCTGAATCAAGGAACTGTACCTGAATCAAGGAACTGTACCTGAACCAAGGAACTGTACCTGAACCAAGGAACTGTACCTGAATCAAGGAACTGTACCTGAATCAAGGAACTGTACCTGAATCAAGGAACTGTACCTGAATCAAGGAACTGTACCTGAATCAAGGAACTGTACCTGAATCAAGGAACTGTACCTGAATCAAGGAACTGTACCTGAATCAAGGAACTGTACCTGAATCAAGGAACTGTACCTGAATCAAGGAACTGTACCTGAATCAAGGAACTGTACCTGAATCAAGGAACTGTACCTGAATCAAGGAACTGTACCTGAATCAAGGAACTGTACCTGAATCAAGGAACTGTACCTGAATCAAGGAACTGTACCTGAATCAAGGAACTGTACCTGAATCAAGGAACTGTACCTGAATCAAGGAACTGTACCTGAATCAAGGAACTGTACCTGAATCAAGGAACTGTACCTGAATCAAGGAACTGTACCTGAATCAAGGAACTGTACCTGAATCAAGGAACTGTACCTGAATCAAGGAACTGTACCTGAATCAAGGAACTGTACCTGAATCAAGGAACTCTACCTGAATCAAGGAACTGTACCTGAATCAAGGAACTGTACCTGAATCAAGGAACTGTACCTGAATCAAGGAACTGTACCTGAATCAAGGAACTGTACCTGAACTCAACAAGGAACTGTACCTGAATCAAGGAACTGTACCTGAATCAAGGAACTGTACCTGAATCAAGGAACTGTACCTGAATCAAGGAACTGTACCTGAATCAAGGAACTGTACCTGAATCAAGGAACTGTACCTGAATCAAGGAACTGTACCTGAATCAAGGAACTCTACCTGAATCAAGGAACTGTCCCTGAATCAAGGAACTGTACCTGAATCAAGGAACTCTACCTGAATCAAGGAACTGTACCTGAATCAAGGAACTGTACCTGAATCAAGGAACTGTACCTGAATCAAGGAACTGTCCTGAATCAAGGAACTGTACCTGAACAAGGAACTGTACCTGAACAAGGAACTGTACCTGAATCAAGGAACTGTCCTGAATCAAGGAACTGTACCTGAATCAAGGAACTGTACCTGAATCAAGGAACTCTACCTGAATCAAGGAACTGTACCTGAATCAAGGAACTGTACCTGAATCAAGGAACTGTACCTGAATCAAGGAACTGTACCTGAATCAAGGAACTGTACCTGAATCAAGGAACTGTACCTGAATCAAGGAACTGTACCTGAATCAAGGAACTGTACCTGAATCAAGGAACTGTACCTGAATCAAGGAACTGTACCTGAATCAAGGAACTGTACCTGAATCAAGGAACTGTACCTGAATCAAGGAACTGTACCTGAATCAAGGAACTGTACCTGAATCAAGGAACTGTACCTGAATCAAGGAACTGTACCTGAATCAAGGAACTGTACCTGAATCAAGGAACTGTACCTGAATCAAGGAACTGTACCTGAATCAAGGAACTGTACCTGAATCAAGGAACTGTACCTGAATCAAGGAACTGTACCTGAATCAAGGAACTGTACCTGAATCAAGGAACTGTACCTGAATCAAGGAACTGTACCTGAATCAAGGAACTGTACCTGAATCAAGGAACTGTACCTGAATCAAGGAACTGTACCTGAATCAAGGAACTGTACCTGAATCAAGGAACTGTACCTGAATCAAGGAACTGTACCTGAATCAAGGAACTGTACCTGAATCAAGGAACTGTACCTGAATCAAGGAACTGTACCTGAATCAAGGAACTGTACCTGAATCAAGGAACTGTACCTGAATCAAGGAACTGTACCTGAATCAAGGAACTGTACCTGAATCAAGGAACTGTACCTGAATCAAGGAACTGTACCTGAATCAAGGAACTGTACCTGAATCAAGGAACTGTACCTGAATCAAGGAACTGTACCTGAATCAAGGAACTGTACCTGAATCAAGGAACTGTACCTGAATCAAGGAACTGTACCTGAATCAAGGAACTGTACCTGAATCAAGGAACTGTACCTGAATCAAGGAACTGTACCTGAATCAAGGAACTGTACCTGAATCAAGGAACTGTACCTGAATCAAGGAACTGTACCTGAATCAAGGAACTGTACCTGAATCAAGGAACTGTACCTGAATCAAGGAACTGTACCTGAATCAAGGAACTGTACCTGAATCAAGGAACTGTACCTGAATCAAGGAACTGTACCTGAATCAAGGAACTGTACCTGAATCAAGGAACTGTACCTGAATCAAGGAACTGTACCTGAATCAAGGAACTGTACCTGAATCAAGGAACTGTACCTGAATCAAGGAACTGTACCTGAATCAAGGAACTGTACCTGAATCAAGGAACTGTACCTGAATCAAGGAACTGTACCTGAATCAAGGAACTGTACCTGAATCAAGGAACTGTACCTGAATCAAGGAACTGTACCTGAATCAAGGAACTGTACCTGAATCAAGGAACTGTACCTGAATCAAGGAACTGTACCTGAATCAAGGAACTGTACCTGAATCAAGGAACTGTACCTGAATCAAGGAACTGTACCTGAATCAAGGAACTGTACCTGAATCAAGGAACTGTCCTGAATCAAGGAACTGTACCTGAATCAAGGAACTGTACCTGAATCAAGGAACTGTACCTGAATCAAGGAACTGTACCTGAATCAAGGAACTGTACCTGAATCAAGGAACTGTACCTGAATCAAGGAACTGTACCTGAATCAAGGAACTGTACCTGAATCAAGGAACTGTACCTGAATCAAGGAACTGTACCTGAATCAAGGAACTGTACCTGAATCAAGGAACTGTACCTGAATCAAGGAACTGTACCTGAATCAAGGAACTGTACCTGAATCAAGGAACTGTACCTGAATCAAGGAACTGTACCTGAATCAAGGAACTGTACCTGAACCAGCGAAAAGAGCATGTTTTGAATGGGTCGGTTGACCCCCTCGTTCCGGTGCTTCTGGTTGAGCCTCCTGATATCATTCACGATGTGCGAGAACACCAGCTTGCGCAGCGCCTTGTCGGGGCAGCGGAACAGGCGGAAGAAGTGTGGAATGAGGTCGGTTGGGCCCAGCAGCTGAAGGAAATCGATGGGAGGGGGGCGTGGGGACGGAGGGCGGGGGAAGACGAGGGGTTGGGGGAGAGACAGAGGGAGAGGCGGAAGAAGTGCGAAATGAGGTCCGTGGGGGCCAGCAGCTGGGAGAATAAGTGAGGGGAAGGGGAGGGGAGAAGCCGGGGGGAGGAGAAACGGAGGAGGGGCAGCGGAAGAGGCGGAAGAATTAAATCAAATCCGTGGGGCCCAGCAGCTGAGGGAACTATGGGAGGGGGAGGTGGGACGGAGGGCGGGGAAAGGAAAAGGGTTAGGGGAGCGACAGAGGAAGAGGTGGAATAAGTGAGGGATGCGGTCCCCTGGGGCCTCGTTGCTGACAGGAAACGGATGGGAGGAAGGAAGGATGTGGCAGGAAGCACATAGCACAGCATGGCACACAAGGCCTGGTGCGGCAAGGTCTTGTAAGGCAGGATGTGAGGAAGGAGCACGTGAAGGGTTTTGGGGTTTAGGGTGGATTCACACTCGGGGCGCAACAGGGGGCATGACGAAATTTGTGGAGCGAAGCAAGTACCTGGCGGTTGCGCAGCAGGATGAGCGCGTGCGCCAGCTGGCGGCGCAGCATTGGGTGCAGCACGTCCACGTGGGACTGCAGCAGCGCCATCACCTCGCCTGGGAACCCCGCCATGGCAGCGCGGTAGAACGGGGCGAGCTGTGGGGGGTGAGGGGTGATAGCGCGGAGGGGTGGGGGTTAGGGTTGGGAACAGAAGTTGGGGATGGGGCAATCCATGCGGGCGCGTGCACTGCAGCCGCGCCTCACCTCGCCTGGGAATCGAACGGGGCGAGATGGAGAAGGGGCGGGGATAGGGAGGAGAGAGGGAAGAAGGGGGGAGATGGAGGGAGAGGGGGGAGAGGGTTGAGAGGGGGGAGAGGGGTTGAGAGGGGGGGGAGAGGTGGGGAGAGGGGGGGCAGATGGGGGAGGGGGTGTAGAGGTGGCGGGGAGACACGAGGTGGGGGCTGGAGGCCTGAAAGTCTTGCAAGTGTGACAGCTATTGGATCGGAACCCGGCCACTGCGGTATGAGGGGGCTAGCTGGAAGCAAAGAGAACGGAGAAAGTCGGGGTGTGGGGAGGGAGGGCGAGGAGAAGGAGTGGTGGGCAAAAAGAAAGGCAGAGAAACCGGGGAGGAATGAGAGTCCCCCCATGACGGAAGGAGAGTGGCAAGGGTGTCGGTAAGATAGGCGGGAAGGGAGGGGAGGAGGGAGTGGCGGGCAGCGACGGGGGGAGGGGTGGGAGGTGCCGGGCGAGGGTTTAGGTAGAGAAGTGCTGAGCTGTGAGTGAATCGGACTCAATTTTTTTAGGCGCCTCAAAAATTGTAAGTGAATCGACTCAGATGGGTACACGCCACCTCGAAAAAAGAGAAAACCCTAATTTTGGTCTACGCGTCTGGAATAAAAACCTTACCCCAAACCCCTAAACGTTGACACGCTTAACCTTCACTCCCCCTAACGCATACGCTGATCGCCGCTTCTCCTAAAGCTGCTTTCCCGAACGCGTGTCCACGCCGAAGTCACCAACCCTAATTCTGTTAAAACCCCAACCCTCGCGCAAGCCAATATCTCCACCTGTTAAAACCCCAACCCTCGCGCAAGCCAATATCTCTACCTGAGGCAATATCTCTGTCCCCCGCGCCCCCCTCAAAATCCACCTGCGTCCCCCGCGCTCCCTCACCTGCGCGAGGATTATCACGAGGTCGCCGAGCCCCCTTAAAGCCCGCATGAGGTTTCAACGAGAACGCTAATAGCGGCGCGCGGGTGGTGGCGGTGCTGCCGCTCGAACTCCTCGCTCGCGCTACCTGCGGTGGCAATTCATGTTGGCTGTTCAGGCGTCTTGAACTTAAAACCCACCTGCGCGAGGAACATCACGAGGTCGCCGAACTCTTTGCTCTCCGCATGGGCTTTAACGAGAACACGGACAGCAGCGCGCGGTAGTTGGCGGTGCTGCCGCTCGAAACTCCTCGCGGTATCCTTCCGGATCGCGCTTCGCCTGCCCCTGAAGCAGCAGCAGATCGCCCAGGGCCGCGGACGCCGCCGCCGCCGCCATCGGCGCGAATCAGGGGATTTGCTTTGCTACTAGAGCGGTTGCTTCGATAACGACAGCGAGAAGCGGCCGTTGGGGTATTCTGCGGTCTACGGGTGAACTTTCTGGGGCGGACTCTGCTTACGTCCTGAAATAACGGCGAGGAGTGGCAGTAACTGAGGAAGAAGGGTTTCGGGGATGGGTAGTAGCTGAACCGTTTAGTACCGAACCGTGCGTGAACCAGGCTAGCACCATCATGCTTTGCCAACTTCGCAAATACAGGGTAAGTTTCTCTTGCCAACCTAATACACCACGAATAACATCCCATCCCATCCCATCCCATGCTGCATTCAGCAGGCGCAGAAAAGTGAAAAACTCAACTGACACAAGTGCAATCATCACAGCACCGAAAGAACTTAAAGTCACACGAGGTTATAATTCTAAGGGCTAATTTAGGGCCACAAAAATGCAGTGGCTCCTGATAACGGGCCCCTGTGCCTTTTCTGCCAAGCGAAGGCCTAATAACTCTTGGCAATTTCTTCTATTGCAGCACACCCCCACCCATTCAACCTTATGTGCTGAGAGGAGCAACAGTAAGGAGGTCTGCATGACAGGAAGCAAAGGCACACACAGGAAAGGAGAGAAGAAAACTACGGTAAGACGACAAGCAACCAGCTTCATTTGAAAGAGAGCACATGATGAAGCATCAACATGGAACCATGCGGGGGCAAAGGGAAGGCAGAGGAAGTGCAAAGAGAAGGTAAAAAAGGAGGGGTGGCAATGATTGTGAAAGAAACTGACCGACACTTACATGCTTCCACCAGCCGCCTGTTTAACTTAGGCAGGGTAAACCCCTCAAGAGGACGAGGCCGGGGGGCACTCCAGCAGAGATCCACTGCTGGTAACGCCGTAAACCGCCTGGCTGCCCTCTGTGAGCGGTCGGCCAATCCCTGCGTGCCACCTGTCCCCTGCGCCTTGTGGGAGAGTGCTTGAGCTGCACTCTTGGGTTGTCGCTTCTTCTTGTGGCGGAGGAGATAGTCCTCTGTGTCCAGGACATAGGAGACCTGTGGGCGAGGGGGAGCAGGAGGGAAGCGGAGCAGTCATTCATGAGGAGCCTTTCTTTTGGCGCCTGAAATATAGATACCTCTTGTGGCGGAGGAGATAGTCCTCTGTGTCCAGGACATACGAGACCTGAGAGGGGTGCAGACAGTAGTAGCATGAGCGATAGGGTGGACATGATTCAGCTTGTGGCGGGGAATATAGTGCTCTGGGGATGATGGGGAGGGTAGTTTTGAGGCGCCTCAAAACATGATTCAGCTCGTGGCGGGGAATATAATGCGCTGGGGATGATGGGGAGGGGAGGGGTGTTGGCAGGGCAACTGGATGCGGGGATCATGGAAGGCGAACAGGACTTGGGGTTACCTTGGAGGTGACACAGGAGAGCTTGCACTCGAGCCCATTCAGTATAAGCACGCTCTCCAGAGCAGCCCTCTCCTCGTCCTCCTTGCTGCGGCCCCTCTTGGATGTTGATGATGACGCCTTTCTCACATTCCTGTGGCACACACATGCAGCATTGCACACATGCACCATCCCACACATGCGGTTCAGACCATGCAAACCGCAGGAGGACATGAGCCATGGCAATGCAGCAGTGCGATTCCATGATGGCATCCGAGCACGATCGAATGCTTGCAAGATCAAAATTGCAACACATTGCATGAGCGTGGGAGACTTAAAGCCTAAAAATAGCTGTTACCAACAGGAGGGAGGGCTACGCATGGAGAGGGAAAAATGCCTGGCAAGGAAGACGTGGGCGCGGTCGGTCGCATGCGCGGGTGGCGAGTGCAGGAAGTGCCAGAGGTACTCGAGGAACGCCGACTCCATGGCTGCTGCCGGCACCTCCACCTTCTCCGGCCCGCCCTCCATCAGCTGCACTGTCAGCACGCCCTCGCCTGGTTGCTGTGCGAGCTGTGGTGGGGGCAAGGAGAGTGAGGGGGGAGAGGAGGACGTCAGGTGGGTTAGGAGGGATAGTGGGGCGAGGACGGGGGGGAGAGTGCGCCACTGGCTGGTCACAGCAATCCATCAGCTGCGCCGCCAGCATGCCCTTGCCTGGCTATTCCCCGGGGCACTAGGCTTCCCCGGGGCACTAGGCTTCCCCGGGGCACTAGGCTTCCCCGGGGCACTAGGCTTCCCCAGGGCACTAGGCTTCCCCGGGGCACTAGGCTTCCCCGGGGCACTAGGCTTCCCCGGGACACTTGGCTTCCCCAGGACAATATGCATAACTGTGCCACTCTGCTTCCTCGGCTCACGATCCCCCCCTCACGACCCCCATCACAACCCCGGCTCATTACCCCCCTACCACACTACCCCCCTCCACCACCCCCCCCCCCCCCTCATCACACTCTCGCGCTCAATTCTATAAAGCAAGTCGTCGTGCATGAGCGCGCAAGCGTTGGCCTGATACACCATGTCCACATAGCCGCCCGCCCCTTCCCTGGTTGCTTCACATCACACACCGCACTCACCAGTTCAATCCTGTATAAGGAGTCGTCGTGCATGAGCGCACAAGCGTTGGCCTGATACACCATGTCCACATAGCCGCCCGCCCCCTTGGCCACCTCGTACTCGTGCAGCTGCTGCAGCTTGGCGCCCACCTCGTCGCCCGCGCATGCTTGCAGCTGTAGAGAGCGAGGGCGGGGGGAAGGGGGGGAAAAGAGATGAGGGGGAGAGGTAAGAAGCATGCAGGGGGGCATGAGAGCATGCGCCCCCTCTTGGCCACCTCGTACCCGTGCACCTGCTGCAGCTTGGCGCCCACCTCGTCACCTGCACACGCTTGCAGCTGTTGGGGACGGGGGGAGGGGAGATGGTTGGGGTGGGGGCAGGGAGGAAGGGGAGGAAGATAGGCATGAGAGGGTAGTGAGAATAACAGGGTGCCCGCCCCCCTGGCCACCTCGTACTTGTGCAGCTGCTGCAGCTTCGCCCCCACCTCGTCGCCCGCACACGCTTGCAGCTGCTTGGGGACGGGGGGGGAGGGGGAAGGGGAGATGATGGGGAGAGGTAAAAAGCATGAGTGGGGAAAGAGAGTCTGCCCGCCCCCTTGGCCACTTCGTACTCGTGCAGCTGCTGCAGCTTCGCCCCCACCTTGTCGCCCGCACACGCTGCATGAGGGAGTCGCATGAGGGAGTAGCATGAGGGAGTAGCATGAGGGAGTAGCACGAGGGAGTAGCATGAGGGAGTAGCACGAGGGAGTAGCACGAGGGAGTAGCATGAGGGAGTAGCACGAGGGAGTAGCACGAGGGAGTAGCATGAGGGAGTAGCACGAGGGAGTAGCACGAGGGAGTAGCATGAGGGAGTAGCACGAGGGAGTAGCATGAGGGAGTAGCACGAGGGAGTAGCATGAGGGAGTAGCATGAGGGAGTAGCACGAGGGAGTAGCATGAGGGAGTAGCACGAGGGAGTAGCACGAGGGAGTAGCATGAGGGAGTAGCACGAGGGAGTAGCACGAGGGAGTAGCATGAGGGAGTAGCACGAGGGAGTAGCACGAGGGAGTAGCATGAGGGAGTAGCACGAGGGAGTAGCATGAGGGAGTAGCACGAGGGAGTAGCACGAGGGAGTAGCACGAGGGAGTAGCATGAGGGAGTAGCACGAGGGAGTAGCACGAGGGAGTAGCACGAGGGAGTAGCATGAGGGAGTAGCATGAGGGAGTAGCACGAGGGAGTAGCATGAGGAGTAGCACGGGGAGTAGCGAGGGAGTAGCACGAGGGAGTAGCATGAGGGAGTAGCACGAGGGAGTAGCATGAGGGAGTAGCACGAGGGAGTAGCATGAGGGAGTAGCACGAGGGAGTAGCACGAGGGAGTAGCATGAGGGAGTAGCACGAGGGAGTAGCATGAGGGAGTCACAACGCACCTGTTTCACCAGCCGGTAGATGAGCTTGTCAATGGTGAAAAGCACGTAGGACTGGGTGCCGATGGCGGCTCGGCACTCATCCTCAAACCGTGTGTTGTCGATCTGCCCGTCCAGCAGGTTGTACAGCACCTCCAGGAACCTGCTCGGTTGCAGGGGCAAGATGGAGGAAAGGCAAGCAGACCAAATCCAATATGCGTAGGATAACCCCTCCTCTGCCCGTCCAGCAGGTTGTACAGCACCTCTAAGAACCTGCTCGATAGAAAGGGCGAAGTCAGAGCAGAGGGCATGCAGTTGAAGAGACAGAAGCCCCGAGACAGTAACCCCTGCTGGGCCCGTCCAGCAGGTTCTAGAGCACCTCTAAGAGAACCTGAGTAGCGCAAGGAGCACGATCAAAACACAGGAACGGAGAGGCCAGGGGCAACAGCTATAGCATGGCCACGGCAAGCACGCTGATAGCATGCGAATGGATTGGGACACATCACAGTTCACCTGTGCTAATGGACACATAGAAAACTGCCTGCCATACAGAGGCCTTAAGATGCCTCATGATGCACTCACTTGGCAGAGGTCAGGCGAGTCTGAGTGGTTGATTTTTGAGGCGCCTCAAAAATAGTTGCCTCACGGTACACTCACCTGGCGTAGAGGTCAGGCGGGTCTGAGTGGTTGAGAGCGCGGTATTTCTCCTCTGAGGCTCGGGCGTTGACCTTGGCACTCAGAATACGCTCGTAGAGAGTCTGGCGGGGTTGAGAGCGCGGGAGGGGGGGAGGGGGGGGGGGGGGTAATTTTGAGTCGACTCAAAATTTACCTTGGCACTCAGGGTGCGCTCGTCGAGACTCTGACGGGGTTGAGAGCAGGAAAACGGAGGGGGTGGGGGGGAGGAGGGGGTGTGGGGGGAAGAGGGGAGAGAAGCGGGGGGGGGGAGGGGAGAGCGCCGACAGTGAAATGGCAGAGAAAGAAAGTGGAAGATATGGAGGAGGAAAGGGGAACGAACGAGTCAGAGTCAGGGAGGAACAGGCAGTGAAGTGTTGGAAAGGTATGGGAGGCATAACAGGGCCTCTCACTCGCAGGCATGTAGGACTACATTCTGTAGAAAACTATACGAAAACCCTGCCTCCGAGCCTGCATTTGACTTTTGAGGCGCCTCAAAAGGAGCCTGCAATCATCGGCACCACTCTACATCTTGGGCATGTGCACATCTCAGCTATACTCGATATAGAGTTGCTCGCTATACTCACATGGTGCAGTCTGAACAGCATGTACATGGTGTCGTTGCCATACATCACACGCCTCGCTCCCGCCTCCGCCTGCGTTTTGCTCCACAACTCCTCCGATAACTCCCTCTCCTTTTCCCTCTCCCTCTCCCTCTCCTTCTCCCTCTCCTCCGTTTCCTTCTCCGTTTCCTTCTCCGTCTCCCTCCCTTCTCCCTCCACTGTCACCTCTGCCCGCCCTTTCCCCTTCCTCCCTCTCCCCCCTCTCCCCCTGCCCCTGCCACTAAATCTCCTCCCCTCCCTCCCACTCCCTCGATTGCAGCTGCTGTCACTGCTAACTGCATCCCACCTCCTCCTATGCGTGCTGCTTCAAACGACTCCCTATGCGCCACCACGGGGCGGCAAGCCTTGTGCCAGTGCCGCCCCCACTTTTTCTTGCCCCTGTGCTGCCGCTCCTTGGGGCCCAGACCCGATATCCACCCTCTCCCCCCCTCCTCTTCCTCCTCCTCCTCCTCGCCCCCTTCCCCACCCTCCTCTCCCATCTCCCCTCCACTCTCCCTGTCCTCTGCCTCCTCGTCCTCGTCCTCCTCCCCTCTCCCCTCCTCCTCCTCCTCATCCCGCCCCTCACTCCCCCTTCTCCTCCTCCTCTGCCTCCTCTTCTCCTCCCCAGCGCTATCAGTTTCTGCACTTGACCCCTCAGACCTCATGCTCTCGTCCTCCCCCTCCTCCCTCTCCCTCCTCCCCCTCTTTCGTCTCTTAGCTGCTGCTGCCGCAGCAGCCGAGGCAGCAGCAGCAGCAGCCGCAGCACGAGAACTAGCATCCTTGCCCTTCCCGCCCGCCCCTCCCGCACCTGCTGCCCCTTGTGCTGCTCCATTCCCCATCCCCCCCGCCCCTCCTCCCCCTCCATTCCCCCCGCCGCCCACTCCCCCCACGTGCACCAAGCTGCTCCTACTCTTCCTCACCACATGCGGCTCTTCCTCCTCTCCCCCTCCCCCTCCCCCTCCCCCTCCCCCTCCTGCTTGCTCTGCTGCTTTACCCCCTGGGGCGAATTCGCCTTCCTCCAGCCCATCTGACCCCGCCTCCCTACCCCCTGATTTTTGCCCCTCACTCGCACCACCAGCCCCGTCATCATCCACCTCATGCCGCCCTCTCTTCCTCTGCCCTTCCCCATCCCCCCCTTGCCTCTCCCGCTTCCTCTCCTCCCCACCCCTTCCCTTCTCCCTGCCCTTCTCCTTCCCCTCCCCTTCCTCCTTTCCCCCCTCCCCCCCCACAGACTCCCCATTCCCCTCCCCATCGCGCCCTCCTGCCCCCGACCCACCCCGGGCAGCCCTCGCTGCTTCGCAGGCAGCATTCTCCGCGTCCCGGGCAGCTTTCTCCTCGGCGACAAATTTCGACCAGACCGAGGGCGCGTTCAAAAACATTTCAATGAAACCCGTCCACAGCTTCATAACTTTAGCCGACTGCTCGGGCGAGTTACAAACCTCCTCCGTCGAAAACTTGATGATTTCGTGCAGATCCTCGTGGATGGCAGAGTCACTGTACGCCATCCGGATGTCGGGGATGAGCGGGCGGCGAGTGGGAACAGCTAGTGCGGCTACTACCTCGTCCTGCTTGTGTTTCTGCTCATTCAGCTCGCGAATCTCAGATAGAAGACCTGTGGGGGGGAGCGGGGGGGGGGGGGGGGGGGGGGAAGGGATGTGAGAAAAGCAGTGTTGAGTCGCCTCAGAGGCCATGTGTGGGAAAAGCTAGTGACGCCACCACCTCGTCCAGCTTGTGCTTCTGCTCCTTGAGCTCGCGGATCTCAGACAGCAAACCTGTGGAAAGGGGGGGGGGGGGGGAGACCGGGGGGAAAACAGTGTGAGCCGCCAAAGAAGCGATGAGCGGGCATTACGTGGGATCAGCTGCTGCTGATCAGTTGGAGACCTTTACTAGAGATAGTTCTCCTCCCATCCTCCCACCTTTCATGCTGAGGCTCTTCTTGTCCAGCTGGACCTCCAGTTGGAGACCTTTACTAGAGATAGTTCTCCTCCCATCCTCCCACCTTTCATGCTGAGGCTCTTCTTGTCCAGCTGGACCTCCAGTTGGAGACCTTTACTAGAGATAGTTCTCCTCCCATCCTCCCACCTTTCATGCTGAGGCTCTTCTTGTCCAGCTGGACCTCCAGTTGGAGACCTTTACTAGAGATAGTTCTCCTCCCATCCTCCCACCTTTCATGCTGAGGCTCTTCTTGTCCAGCTGGACCTCCAGTTGGAGACCTTTACTAGAGATAGTTCTCCTCCCATCCTCCCACCTTTCATGCTGAGGCTCTTCTTGTCCAGCTGGACCTCCAGTTGGAGACCTTTACTAGAGATAGTTCTCCTCCCATCCTCCCACCTTTCATGCTGAGGCTCTTCTTGTCCAGCTGGACCTCCAGTTGGAGACCTTTACTAGAGATAGTTCTCCTCCCATCCTCCCACCTTTCATGCTGAGGCTCTTCTTGTCCAGCTGGACCTCCAGTTGGAGACCTTTACTAGAGATAGTTCTCCTCCCATCCTCCCACCTTTCATGCTGAGGCTCTTCTTGTCCAGCTGGACCTCCAGTTGGAGACCTTTACTAGAGATAGTTCTCCTCCCATCCTCCCACCTTTCATGCTGAGGCTCTTCTTGTCCAGCTGGACCTCCAGTTGGAGACCTTTACTAGAGATAGTTCTCCTCCCATCCTCCCACCTTTCATGCTGAGGCTCTTCTTGTCCAGCTGGACCTCCAGTTGGAGACCTTTACTAGAGATAGTTCTCCTCCCATCCTCCCACCTTTCATGCTGAGGCTCTTCTTGTCCAGCTGGACCTCCAGTTGGAGACCTTTACTAGAGATAGTTCTCCTCCCATCCTCCCACCTTTCATGCTGAGGCTCTTCTTGTCCAGCTGGACCTCCAGTTGGAGACCTTTACTAGAGATAGTTCTCCTCCCATCCTCCCACCTTTCATGCTGAGGCTCTTCTTGTCCAGCTGGACCTCCAGTTGGAGACCTTCACTAGTAGAGATAGTCACTGGACCCACCCCTCTCACCTTTCATGCTGAGGCTCTTCTTGTCCTGCTGCTTGAAGTAGAAGCTGCGGTGGTCCAGCGACTTGGCATAATTTTTGGCGTACACGTCCGCCCACACGCGGTTCATCTCAGCCCGGCACCGCACCCACTCCTCGTGCTTCTGCTTCAGCCGCTGCAGCACCACCGGAAGCGCCACTGCTGGTGTGCGCTTCACCAGCTCTTGAATGTCGAGCCCATGGTCGCCGTAGATGCGCTCGATGCACCGCATGTTGATGGCTGGATTGGGGGGCAGGGCAGGGCCGGGGGGACGGGGGGGAGGAAGGAGAGGGGGGGGGGAAGGGGAGTAGAGGGGAACCGTGGGGTTGGGGTGTCAACGGACTGAGGGAAGAATAGCACCGCACCCACTCCTCCTGCTCCTGCTTCAGCCCCTGCAGCACCACCGGCAGCGCCACAACTGGCGTGCGCTTCACCACCTCCTGGATGTCCACCCCGTGGTCGCCGTCGATGCGCTCGATGCACCGCATGTTGATGGCTGGCGATTGGGGAAGGGAGGCGGTGGGTGGGGGGAGAAGGGGTCACGGGATGAGCCGAATGAACAAGGGTGCGTTTCACCAGCTCCTGGATGTCCAGCCCGTGGTCGCCGTAGATGCGTTAGATGCACCGCATGTTGATGGCTGGGGGGGGGGGGAAAGGGGGTTGGTCGGAATGATTTGGTTCTACGACAAAGGGAAAAGGAAAAGACAACTGGTGTGCACGCTTCACTAGCTATTGACTGTTCAGCCCATGGTTGCCATATATGCGCTCGATGCACTGCCTGTTGATGGCTCGGGGGAGGGAGTAGAGGGGCTGGAACGGCGAGTGATCTTGGTTTTGAAGACTTTCCGAAAGGAAGCAAAGGTAGTTAAAAGATGAGAAAAACCCCTTTCACCTGTCAGTCACCATAACCCCTCTCACCGGTCAGATTCTCCTCAACCCTGAAGCCGCCCCGCTCCGCGTCCGACATCCCGTGCATGCGGTCTATCACCTCCTGCACCCGCCGGGCCGTCACTGCCGTGGACTCAAGCAGCATGTCCAGCTCGAAGCTGACAGCGAGAAGCAGGGACAGGGGCAGGGAAGAAACGGCATGGGGAAAACGGCTGGAGGGGAAGCGGACAGGAGAAAGGGGCGCTCATGGCACGGCATGAGCCGTGACTGCTGCTGACTCAAGAAGCATATCCTGCTTGAGGCTGAAGAGAAAACACGCAAGAAGGAAGCAGTCCTCGCCAGTCGTCCTCGCAGCAGAGGAGCGACTCCTTGTACGGGTGCTTCCGCACGTGAGTGAAGGAGTGGTGAGGACAGGTCGCAGGGGGCATGGCATGGGTGGCACGGGTGACGCAGCACTGACCGGTCGTCCTCGCAACGGAAGAGTGACTCCTCGTACTGGTTCTTGCGCATGTGAGTGAACGAGTAGTCCTCGCTGCCCGAGGTTACCGACACCCACACGTCGTTGAGCACCTTCATTCCCAGCTCAGTGCGATGGCACGACACGGGCCGCATTTGCTGGTGGATGGGTGGGGGGAAGGGGGGGGGAGGGGGGAGGAGGAGAGGGGGGAATGTGTTAGGAGGGGGGGGGGACAATTCGATCATGGGTTGCTTCAGATGTCAGGAGCACGAGCCACACAAGTGGGTGCATCTGACATCTGATGCCGTGTGGGTTGATTCAGATGTCACTGGCACCCACACAGAATTGAGCACAGTCATTCCCAGCTCCGTGTGGTGGCACGCAACGGGTCGCATTTGCTACAGCAGCGGGGAAGCCGGGAGGGGGCAGGAGAACGAGCCACACAAGTGAGAACAGACGAAGCGAGATTCTCTTGACTGCGACATCCAAATGAAAAGGGCAATGAGGGCGTGTGTGGGGGAGGGTCGTGCGTGTGTGCATTTGTGTAGGAGAGAACCAAGGAAAGGGGGGAAGGAAGGAACCGCTGGGGTCAGTGGAGCTCTCACTGGTTTGGGGAGGAGGCGGTAACTGGGGGAGCATCGTTCAGCCGCCGACAAATCCATTTCGCAGATCGACTTGTACTGCACTTGCTCCTTCCTCACTACCACTGACTTGGCTGCTGCTGCTACCGCCGCTGCTGCCGCTGCGCGCTCTTTCTCCTTCTCCCTTGCCTCCCGCTCCCGCTCCCGCTCCTTCGCCTCCCTCTCCTTCTCCCTCTCCCGCTCCCTCTCCCGTTCCCTCTCCCGCTCCCGCTCCCGCTCCCGCTCCTCCCTCTCCCTCTCCTTAACTCTCTCCTTCTCCTCCCTTTCTCTCTCCTCCCTCTCCCGCTCCTCCCTCTCCCGCTCCTCTGCCTCCTTCTCCACGCGTCCATGGTCCTTCACCCGCTCCCTCTCTCTATCCTTCTTCCTCTCTCGCTCCTTCTCCTTCTCCCGCTCGCGCTCCCCCACCTCCTTCCTCTCCCTCTCCTTGGTCTCAGCCCTCTCGTGCTCCCTCTCCTTCTCCCCAGCCTCCTTCCTCTCCTCCTCCTCCACCTTCACCCTTGCCCCTCCACCTGCTGACTCCAGCGTCTCGAAGTCTGAAGTAACAAGAGGCCCAAAACACATACATGCCAAACAAGATATGTAAGTCAGAAGACGCATGTGGCACAAGACAACATATGTGCGAGAAACAAGAAAAACGCATGGCCTGACCCGTGCATTCACCCTACATACGTAGATGAGGTGACTTTTGAGTCGACTCAAAGTCACACGTGCATTCACCCTACATACGTAGATGCCAGCGTCTCTGCGTCCAACCCAAAAACCTAATCGAACACTCCCAACACGCTGCGGAACAGCAACTCAACCAAATTTCCACCTTGCGCCAGAAACTCATTAAACCCCTCCACAAGGTCGGGGTGCTCGGCGAGGATGTCCCCCACGAGGCTCTCAGTTGTCTCGACACATAGCACAGCAGAATCACAACTCACCGAGATTTTCACACCGAGCAAGGCACACATTAAAGCCCTCGACGAGGCCGGGGTGCTTGGCCAGGATGTCCCCCACAAGACTCTCAGACGCTTAAAACTACACTGACGAAGGAACACTCACCGAGGTTTTCACACCGAGCTAGAAACTCGTTAAAGCCCTCGACGAGGTCGGGGTGCTTGGCGAGGATGTCCCCCACGAGGCTCTGCAGCTCGGCGCGGGCGATGATCTCCTGGCTGAAGATGTTGAGGCACTTGAGGAACTCCTGGTACACCTCCCGGCTGCGCACCCGCGCCTTCACCCGCTCAAAGAACGCCAGCTCGCGGTGCATTCCCAGGGCTACAAGGCGGTTGGAGGGAGGGGGAAGTGAGTGGGGAAGGTGGATGGGAGGGATGGAGAGGTGGAAGAGAGAAAAGCTGTTAGTGCCTCCGCGCCTTCACCCACTCAAAGGATACCAGCTCCCGGTGCAATGCCAAGGGCTACAGAAGCGGGAAGGAGGAAGAGGTTGAGGGGTGGGGGGCGGGCGGGGAGATAGGGGAAGGAGGAAGAGGTTGAGGGGTGGGGGGCGGGCGGGGAGATAGGGGGAAGGAGGAAGAGGTTGAGGGGTGGGGGCGGGCGGGGAGATAGGGGGAAGGAGGAAGAGGTTGAGGGGTGGGGGGCGGGGAGATAGGGGGAAGGAGGAAAGATGGCAAGAGAGAGTATCAATGAGAGAAACCACTTGAGAGAGAGTACATGTACTACCAAGCACATAAATATTTTTTAACCCCACCAACCAATCTCTCTGCATTGAATTACCCAGTAGCGCCACTCACCCCTGCTCCCTTTCCTCTCATCGGCTGGCCCCTCAGCTGCCGCCCCTCCCCCCTGCTCCTTCTTCTTCCCCCTTCCTCCCCTTTCCGCCCCTTCCGCTTCGGCTGCTGCGCCGGCTGCACCACAGCATGCGCCACCCCCACCCCCACCCCCTCCTGCTGCTGCTGCTGGCTCCACTCCTTGTGCCCCTCTTTCCCATCCACCTGCATGGGCTGAGGCAGCGCCAGCCCAGCCCGCTTCTCCTCCACCTGCTGCTCTACCTCCCGCGGGGGCTTCTGCAGGTCCAGCATCAGCGGCTTCCTGTGCGTGCCCTCCTCGCCCCCCTGCTGCAAACCCCCAGCCCCCGCTGCTTGCTGGGCGTGGTGCAGATGCGGTTGTGCTGCATCCCCATGCTGCTGCTGCTGCTGCTGCTGCTGCTGCTGGAGGCGCTTGTGCTGCTGCTGTGCGGACGTGTCTTCATCCACCTCCTCCTTCACCTTTCCTCGCCCCTCTGCCTCCTTCTCCTTGCCCCGACCCTCTGCCCCCTTGCGCCTCCTCTCTGTGTGCTCTCCGTCCTTGTCCTTCTGTGCATGGAGGGACGGATACAGGCGACGGTGAGGGGGCAGGAGGGCTAGGTAGTGAGGAAGCATGGAACGCAGGATGTAGTAGAGAGTGCTAGAGTGCTACGGCAAGAAAACGCAACATTAAAACGAAGAGGTGTTGCGACAAGAAAGGCAGCAAGGAGAAGGAAGAAGAAGTTACGGAATTCCTGCTAAGACCATGAGGGAGGGAATGGGACAGCAAGCCAGGAGGGGGAACAGCAAGACAAGACAGACGAGGTGCTGGCACCTGACCAACGCAACGCACCTTGCCCTTCTCCGCCCGGCCACCAGCTGCTGCTGCACCAGCTGGAGCAGCAGCAGCAACCCCACCAACTGTGGCAGCAACCGTAGCAGCAGCTGCTGCTTCACCAGCACCAGCACCCACACCCGGCCGTGCTCCTGCTACTGCTGTTGCGCCAGCCGCGCCGCCAGCAGCAGCAGCACTGCCAGCAGCAGCAGCACTGCCAGCAGCAGCACCACCACCAGGCGCAGCAACGGTGCCAGGAGGTGGGGGGCCCACCCCGCGCCACTGGGGCAAATGGCTGGCAGCAGAGTCCGGCAGGAAGAAGGTGAACTCCTCCAGCAGATCTGAGTGGTCCTTGAAGAGCGTAGCCACCTGAGAGAGTGGGTGTGGATGTAGGGGGGATAAGGGAGGCATGGCCCTCCTTAGAGTCGACTCAAGCATGAATCGCAGCAGAGTCCGGCAGGAAGAAGGTGAACTCCTCCAGCAGATCTGAGTGGTCCTTGAAGAGCGTAGCCACCTGAGAGAGTGGGTGTGGATGTAGGGGGGATAAGGGAGGCATGGCCCTCCTTAGAGTCGACTCAAGCATGAATCGCAGCAGAGTCCGGCAGGAAGAAGGTGAACTCCTCCAGCAGATCCGAGGAAAGGCACAACGGGATCAGATGGGATCAGATGGGATCAGATGGCATCAGATGGCATCAGATGGGATCAGCTGGGATCAGCTGGGATCAGCTGGGATCATATGGTACACACAAGTCGCACAGCAAGTGGGCACTGACTGACCTCCTTGTACACGTCCACGATGTTGTTGTTGCCCTTGCGGTACATGTTGAGGATCTCCAGAAAGCTCTTGTACACCGACTCATCGTCAGCAAAGCGGGCCTGAGGCAGTCAGAAAGAATAGAGCACGGGGGGAGAGAGCACGCATTGGTCATGCATGGTACATGTTGGGGATCTCAAGGAAGCTCTTGTGCACCGAATCATCATCAGCAAATCGGATCTGGAGAAGAAAGAGCACATGGGCGAAAGGCAGCATTGTCACTGTAACATGTGTTCATGTGAAATCCGTTATAGATGGCCCAACACCTGCTTGTACGCACGTCACTGTGACCGTACCTTGATCTTGTTCACGTAGCTGATGGCTTGGTCCAACTCCACCCTCCTGCTTCGAGGTGACTATGGAGTCGACTCAAACGTTGCTGTGACCGTACCTTGATCTTGTTGACGTAGCTGATGGCTTGGTCGAACTCCACCATCTTGCTTCGCGCAGCCGGAGCAGCTGCTGCACCCGCCGCTCCTCCTGCCCCCCCTGCTGCTGCTGCTGCTGCAGGCACAGTCGCAGCAGCACCAGCAGCACCAGGGGCAGCAGCAGGAGCACTGGGAGGAGAACCACCACCAGGAGCGGCAGCAACAGCACCAGCAGCACCAGCAGCAGCAGCAGATGAACCTCCCCCAGCATGACCTGCACCAGAAGCAGCTGCCACTGCACCTGCTCCTGCTCCTGCTCCTGCGCCTGCGCCCACTGCAGCAGCAGGAAGGGGGGGAGTGCGAGTAGCCGCGGCAGCCCCACTAATAGACCCCCCATGGGGCACTGGCACTGGTGCATGGGGTGCCGCTGCACCCGCTCCTCCAGGCATAAGCGGGGGACCACCAGCAGGAGCGACAGATGGGACAGGCCCTGCAGGTACGGATGGGGTGATTACCGCCCGAGCCACCGCAGGAGGCGCGGACCGAGGCTGAGGAGGGGGTGCGGGCGCGGGGGCTGGTACCGGAGTTGTGGGTTCGGGTGGGAGGGTGATTTCGTATCCCTTGGGGAGGAAGGTGTTGAAGCCGAGGATGAGCTGCCTGTGGCCCACGAAGAGCTCCTTCACACGCGCTATCACTCCTGCTGTGTCGATCCTGGCACACAGGAGCAACCACATGCAGTGAAGAGAAACGCAGCGTGTGAAAGAAGGACGATAAGAGGTGGTGGGCGACAGGACGGAAAAGGTAGGCGAGAGACGAGAGAGAGGGTAAGGGACGCGGACAAGGAAGAAAGCAGGGAATTGTGGAACTTTCTTTACAAAAAAGAACAAAACAAAACAAACAAAACAAAACGGAGGCAGAATGGTGGGTCGGACTGACAGCTGCGCCTTGAAGTTCTTCATGACGTCCAGGAACTCGTCGTATTTGTCCTTCTCGTCTCGAAACCGTTCCTTCACTGCCTTCAGATATGCCAATGCGTCGTTTGTTGTCAATCGACCCCCCTGCTGCTGCTGCTGCTGCTGCTGCTGCAGCTGCTGTTGCTGTTGCTGTTGCTGCTGCTGCTGCTGCTGCTGTTGCTGCTGCTGCTGCTGCTGCTGCTGTTGCTGTTGCTGTTGCTGCTGTTGCTGTTGCTGCTGCTGATGCTGTTGCTGCTGTTGCTGCTGCTGCTGCGCTGCAGCAGCCGCTGCATGCTGCGTACCCGTCAATACTGCATGTGGCGCTTGTGCCTGTTGCTGTGGCTTCAGCTGTCTCTGCTGCCCCATACTTGGCTGCTGCATCAACACAACTTGCTGCTGCGTCTGCTTCTGCCCGTGCGCTGCTGCCTGCTGCTGCCCCATCAGTACCTGCTGCTGCGCGGGAATCTGGCCTAAGGGCCTCTGATGCTGCTGGTGCTGCTGATGCTGCTGATGTTTCTGTGCTGTGACTCCCGCCTGCTGCTGCTGATGCTGCTGCTGCGACTGCTGCGGCTGCATGAGTGCTGAAGGCGCGTGTTGCTGTTGCTGCTGCTGCGCCATCATTAACTGCTGCCGTGGCGCCAAAGCAGGGGACTGCTGCACCTGCCGCTGTGGCTGGTGCATAGGCTGGCCTGGGTGCATCCCTTGCTGCTGAAGCGCGTGAGGCGGGACCTGCTGGTGAATCGGCTGCTGCCGCCTCTGATCCTGCGGCTGCTGTTGCTGCTGCTGCTGCCGCTGCAGCAACTGCGCCTGCAGCTGCGGCTGCATCTGAGCCATAGGCTGCATCGGCGGACCCTGCTGCTTCGGCTGCATGGGCTGCGCTGCGTGCTCCAGGTGCTTCTGCTGCTTATGCTGCTGCTGCGACAACGGCTGCTGCTTCTGCATATGCTGCGGCTGTGACAGAGGGCCCTGCTGCTGCTGCGGCTGGGTGAGAAGCGTCTGCTGCTGTCGTTGCACTGTCCGCTGCTGCGCCTGCACGGGAGGCTGGGCGGACTGCTGCAGATGCCGCTGCTGCAGGAGGTGAGGGGGGATGCCGTGGGGAGGCGGACCGGGGTGAGCCCCCAGGGCTTGCGACAAAGGGATCTGTTGAGAAGGGCCCAGGTGCTTTGGCGGCTGCTGCGGGCCTGAAAGCAGGGTGGGTTGTGGCTGTGACAAGGGAGGGCCCTGGGGATGCTGAGGATGGGGTGGGTACTGCTGCTGGTGGGCCTGGTCCGACTGCATGTGTTGGTTCGGGTTCTGCATCTCCGTTGCTTTCGATTAGAAGAACGCGGGAAGTTGGGGATTGAATTGGTCCGAAGTTCTACAATACCCTCTGACCTGCAAAGATAAGAGAGGAGGTGGCAGGCAGGAGAGACGAGAAGATAGGGATATGAAGGCCTGTGACACGAGATATGGCCAGACATCGAAGACTGTAAAGCTCAAGCACACAGATCTCAGCACACCAAGTCAGATGATGCAGATATCTTTAAAAAGAAACGCAAATCAGATGGACGTCAGGGAAACGGAACTGGAGCTCATGGATAATATCAGGTCTCCGAATGGGGTGCGACAAGCCTGATACGGAGGATTAAGTTTTGAAGCTGGCCTTTGGACCTTCAACAAATCAGAGCGAAAAGCATACATAAATCTAGCGAACACCCCTTCAGTTCCATGCATGGATGGCCGTCGACCTATGCAAGATGCAAAACGGCAGGATGAGGAGAAAATGGGCCAAGAGTTGCGTTACCTGGAATCTGCTTTAATCGGCTAATCATTCCTTATATTTCCTATTGAAACATGTTAAACCGAGATGCCGGGGATGTCATGCAACTTACAATCTCGAAGGTCTATGGCCAAGCGGATAGTCAAAGACACGGACGACGGTGATGAGGATCCAGAAAGCTGAGGAAAAATGACTGTCCCATGTCTATCATCCGAAAGGTTTCTGACGTAAAGAAGAGACCAAGGCAGATTGACGGAGAGCACGCTTGGCAGGTCCACTAGAGAGAAGGCAAGCAAACCAGGAACAGAGAAATGAAGGAAGATAGGCGAAGGATGCAGGTTATGAGGCTGTGGGGATGGTCGATGATGAGACAACAAAGAGGAATGGGGAGCCGAAAATCGCGACAAGTGGACAGCCTTTTCCGTAGGTGATTGCCCTGTATGAGGTTATTCCAGATTTTGTAAGAACTGTGTTTCCCGCTCAGCCGTGCTATTTTTCTTCTTTTGTTCTTTTGCCTTTTGCTATTTGTTACCAAAACCCTTCAGGATTTTACTTACTTGGTGGGTGCTTGCACAACTCTGACTTTGGACAATATGAATGTGGTTGTTTTTCCTGAAAATTCAGCCCGAGAATTCGGAGTGCAGCTGTTCACCTTGGGATCATCCATTTTGTGCCTGGGTGTTTCCCCTCGACCTCGCCTTGGGATTGGCCGGAACCCATCACGGCTCACAGCTCACGCACTTGTGGCTGCTGCCTGCCCGCTTTCCCCCTCGATTCCGGAATCGCCACTAGCCTGGCTGGACCTGTTTGTTTGAACTGCCCACTTCCGCGCGAAACATCCACATCCAATCCGCTCTCCCGCCCTTGTGCGAAACCTCGAAGTCTCCGTTCCGCCAACCCCTTCGTTCGTCAGCGGTCCTCCCCGGCCGTTTTGCGTGAGAACTCAGAGATTCTCGCTGGTCTTTCCGCCAAACCTTTTCTGTGCAAAGCCCGCCTGCCTCCCCTCCACCCCCATGCGCGGAACCTGGGAGATTTCAGAGCAGCCTCGGCAAGTCCTTCCGTCAAACCTCCGCCATACTTCCGCACCCCTCCCTGCAAACCTTTCCCCCCTTCCCTTGACTCCCCCCAACAGTTACAGGCCCAAACCTAAGATAGGGTATGGCTGACGCTTTGAGCCAGGTTAGCTCAGCAACCAGGATTCCTGCTTTTCAGCGAAAGCCCCAAACTAGCGAATTTCTCCTGTTTTTCATCGCGTTCTCCGTCGACAGCGTTCTGCGGACGTCGTTTCTTCATTGCTGCTTTTGTTCGAGCTGTAGCCATGGATTTTGACCTGGTTTGCACACTTGTCAGTACAGCGAGTCTGGTGGACGAGCTTACCACCATCAAATGGAAACGCCAGCAGGTACGAGACTGAAACTCTTGAACAATCTTAATGCTTTAACTGCTCGTTACCATGAGTAGTATAACTGACTAGGATTCTATTAATGTGATTCGCAGGAAGCGGTGGTGGAGATGTCGGAGACTGGCCTTGTGGTTGTAACAGAGGAGCTAAACTGCTTGCACGCGCGCGCGTTTTTTAGGAAAGAGGTCGGGAAATGCCCTTTTTACTTCAGTTGTGAGGCTGTTCCGACGATGATTTGTTCTCACTCTTCTTGCTGCTCTCAATTTCTTGCTGTGCGAGTGCAGCTCTTCCTGGACTACGTTTATCGGCCAGATGTTCGCTATCGATTCGGCATCAATCTCTCTCTTCTGATTGATTGCTTGGCGGCGTTCTCTGCGTCAGCTACCACAGGACACGTACTCACCTTGCGGTATCCTGGGCCTGATAATCAGCTCTTGCTCAAGTAAGCTTCACCTTGCAGCAGTTGTGCGTGAAATTCGCATCCATTTCAACTCTCATCTTGATTTTGAGTTTTCTTTTTTGGACCTTTGCGGTGGGGGATTTGCGATCAGGTGTCTCCAGGCTGTCTGATCCATCCAACAGCAACAGCAGCATTGGAGCAGAAATTCGCACATTGCTTCCCGATATGAACCCCCCTGAATGGGCCTTGGATGTTGACACATCGACTCCACAGAACGCTCCTGTCAGCTTTGCCATTCGGGTAGGTGTCATTAACATCGCCCTCTCAGATTTGCAGTGAGAACGACGTGTCCTTGTTTTCCCCACAGCCGGTCATTCGCCTCTAACTGACCAAGTTCCTCTTTGCGTTTCTCCCAGTCAAGCGTTCTCAAAGAGTTGATCGAGGATCTGGAGTGGCCTGGTGCCAGTGTTCGAATCTCCATTAACCCTCAGCCCGCAGGAGTGACGTTTCTGGCCCAGGGTCATGGTGACTTGCAGGTCAGCATATGGGTGTCTATTGAAGTCACATTTTGACACTGGTGCTTTTCATTGGCCTATGCCAACTCTCAAGTCTTGACGTTTTGGCATTTGTACAATCATTGGTTTTTCAGGTTGATCTCCTTGTCGGACGCTGCAACAACCTTTTTGTTGACTTCAAATGTCACCGGCCCATTTCATTCTTGTAAGAAATCATTTGCTGGTCGTTTTTGCTAGAATTTGTCCTCAGCTGAACCTCCATCGTTCGCTGTGCAGGTATCGCTACAAGCATCTCAGTGCAGCAACCACAAGCATTCCTGCTGCTGTCCTCAAAGAAAATCATGCAAGTAAACTGACAATAGACTGCCATGGCCTTCTGCGAGTGCAGCACGTTGTCAACATGCGAGCCACTGGACCCAGTGGAAGACACGCTAATGAAGCTCCAGATGCACAAGGAGTTGGTAGTATTCCTGCCTTTTCTCAACCAACGCAAGATGGGAGTCAAGCTCTGCACAATAGGAGTGCAAGGACATCATTTGTGGAGTTATTTGTTGCTCCACAAGAGGAAGATTATGAAGCAGATGAGGTTTAGTTTAGCGTTTTTATCAGTGTACCATGCTACATTTTTACTTCATTTCCACCATTCAGGCTGACGTGGCTTCTGTCAAGCTATCTCTCAACATTGCGTGGTTATCACTGGCTCGAGCAGCGCTGGCACATTGTCATGCAAACCTGTTATACGTTGGCCAAGCCCTACAGCAGCCCTCACCCTTCCCGCCAGATTTTGCTCACTTCGACCTCGCAGAACTGCCTCAGCAGCACTCCATCTTGCCACTCCCTTCAATCCCGAAGGGCTGAGGGTTTCTCTTTCCCCTTGCACCTGGCCAAAGTCAGCAGTGTCTCATCTCTTGCATCCGTCATGGCGACCGCGGCTGCTCGCTCGTTGCTTTGCGTGCATTTCCCCACGCAGATCTCCCCAGCGGAGGGCGAATCCGCCTCTCTCAGGGCTTTCGCCAAGTCCCTCCCGTCGCACGGCCTCTCTGCGGTCCCTCACAGCTGCAAGTCTGTCACCAACCGTCGCAGTAGCGGCGCGAATGGGAGCAGCAGTCGCAGACGACAGCCAGTGATGGCAGCTGCGGGCGACGGTGCGACGACGAAGAAATGCCGCATCACCCTGCTGCCGGGCGACGGTATCGGCCCTGAAATCATGGCAGTGGCTGTGAGGCTGCTCAAGGCTCTGGGCGATCTGGAAGGCATTACCTTTGAGTTCCAAGAGGCGCTGGTCGGAGGTGCTGCCATCGACGAATTCGGCGTGCCTCTGCCCGAATCTACCCTCGCCACCTGCCGCGACAGCGACGCCGTGCTGCTCGCAGCAATTGGAGGGTGGGTGGAACAGCGCTTTGCCGGCCGTTTTCCCGTAAATTATGAATGCTGAAACATTTAATAAAAAAACGGCGTTTCTGAAGACCCTCCATCAATGACCAGTTCCGCCTGCCACCACCCCACCCCCCCTTGCCCTTCACAACCCCCACCTTCCCCCAATGCTCCACGCCCCTTCCGCAGCTACAAGTGGGACACCCTGCCCGCAGATCTCCGCCCTGAGCGCGGCCTGCTGGGGCTGCGCGCAGGGCTCGGCGCATTCGCTAACCTGCGCCCTGCGACCGTCTTCCCCCAGGTGCGGTTGCATTCAGGTAAGGGGCTAGTAGGGAGAAATGAATAAGTGACGGGCTAGTACTGCGGTGTGGCATGCAAGTCACGGCCTAATCGGTCTAGTCTTCAGATGGCGTTCGAGTAGCGGGCTTGTAACGTGACGTTGTTATTTCCTTAGACAAGTAGCGCGACTTTGAGATATGGGAACCGGCTATCCTGCTTCACATGCATTGCTCCGTTCCTGGCATGTTGTCTCCACTCCCCTTGCAGCTGATCGAGGCGTCGTCGTTGAAGCGAGAGGTGGTGGAGGGAGTCGACATCATGGTGGTGCGAGAGCTGACGGGTGGTGAGTCATGGTGGTGCGAGGACTGAGAGGCGGAATGAAACATCATGGAATGGGAGGCGAGGGAAAGAAGTGGGAGTGAAGGAAGAAGAAAGAAGATGGGGGTGAGGTGAAGGAAGGGGGGGTGAGGGGAAGGATTAAGCCTGAAAAGCAGTGAGAGGTAAAGGGAAACGTGGGAGGAGTGGTGCGGCAGCACGGATGGTTATGGGCACGGGTGACCCTTCTATGCTAACCTATGAGGCTGTGATGTGAGCTTTGTATGGGGGTGTTGAGTTCTTATCTCAAAACTGCTGTTTTTTGCTATGTGTTGCAGGGATCTACTTCGGGCAGCCCAAGGGCTTCGGCCAAGATGCAGAGGGCAACAGGACAGGCTTCAACACCATGATCTATGCTGTCCCTGAGGTATACTCCCCACAGTGGTTTCTTAAACACCTCCCTCCTCCCTCTTCCCCCATCCTGCCACCTCCGTCTCTTCCTTCTAGTCCTCCTACGCTCCCCCGTTCCATTCTTCCTGCCCTTCCACTGTCCCAGACGTACCCCTTATCGCTCTTCAACAATTCGGTTCACTTCCCCTTCTCCCACACACACACACACTCACACGCACACACACACACACACACCCTCCCATCTCACCGCTCCCTCCACGTCTCTTTCCCCTTACCCCCCTTCCTCGACCGTCTCCCTCGGCACTCCCCAGATCGACCGCATTGCCTGGGTGGGCTTTGAGACAGCGCACAGGTGCAGCGGGCGGCTGTGCTCCATGGAGAAATCAAACGTGCTGGAGGTGTCGCAGGTGTGGCGCGAGCGCGTCACTGCCATTGGGGCAGAGGAGTACCCCAATGTGGAGCTCAATCTGAGACACATGGGAAACAAGAATAAACAAACAAACAAACAAACGCATCTCCCTTCCCTCATCCCCACCCCCGCCCACTTCCTTCCCTCTCATCCCCTTCCCCCAATCTCTTGCTCCCCAGATTGACCGCATTGCCCGGGTGGGCTTTGAGGCGGCACGCAAGCGCAGCGGCCGTCTCTGCTCTGTGGAGAAGTCGAACGTGCTGGAGGTGTCGCAGCTGTGGCGCGAGCGTGTCACCGCCATCGGGGCAGAGGAGTACCCCGATGTGGAGCTGAGCCACATGTATGTCGACAACGCCGCCATGCAGCTCATCAGGAACCCCGCCAGTTTGACACGATCGTCACGGGGAACATATTTGGGGATATCCTGTCAGACGAGGCGTCGATGCTGACTGGCTCCATTGGCATGCTGCCATCAGCCAGCATTGGGTCGGATGTGAGTCTTGGGGGGAGAGGGGGGGAGTGGGGGGGAGGGGAGGAGTGTTTGCGGGCATAACGTGGCACAGTAATGCAAATTTGTACCATCTATAAATCCCCATCCCCTTCCAACCCTTCTGCCCAGTCTCCCAATTGAAACCATCCCTCCATCCTCCTCCCCTCTCCACTGCCACCCACAGGGCCCGGGCATCTACGAGCCGGTGCACGGGTCGGCGCCGGACATTGCAGGGCAGGACAAGGCAAACCCGATGGCGCAGGTGCTGTCGGCCGCCATGATGCTGCGCTACGGGCTCAACCTGCCCCGTGGCGCTGACCTGCTGGAGGCTGCTGTCATGAGCGCCCTGGAGTCCGGGTACAGGACTGGCGACATTGCGTCTCCGGGCACTGTAAGTTGGAGTCTGGGTATTCGGAAACGTTGTTCGTTTGTGCAGTGTTCTTTTCTTTATCCTCTTTCTGTCAGTCTTTTGCTTGGTTAGCTTCCCTTTCAGCACTAAACTAGCTGCATGTCAGGCGCCACTCCACATCTGTCTTATGGTACTATCCTTTTGGCATGCTTTCCTCTTGCAGGAGGTGATCGGCTGCAGTAAGATGAGCGATGTGTTGCTGGAGAAGCTTCACGAGGCGCATGCCAAGCTGAGCTAGACAGTGGTGGTGGCGCCATAAATATTCAAGCCTAGCAAGCAACACGAACAGCACAATGCCTTCAAAAAATAGCTGCTTGACATCCTTCCGTTGGGTTTACGTACAATTTTTTGTAGGTTGTATTCGGCAGACAAGGGGAAAAGGGCCAATTAGCTTGCAGATGGTGGAAGATATGCAGCACTTGTATTTTAGCATTAGCAGCTTAGGTTGTAACACTGCGAGCTGTGCACTTTTCTCATAGTTTCGTCACTGTGGCAGGTGGGTGTTCACATTTCCTGCAGCCATCCGTCGTCAAAGCCACAACAGCCCCCGTCAGCACTTCGTCAAGGCCACAGGTAATTTTGAGTCTACCCAAGATTCACCTGTACGATTCCAACCAATAGGGGGCATCATTCCCAAGAAGACCCAACTGCCATGGCAAGCCCTGTCAAGCCATAGAAGTCGGGGTGGGGCCACCTCCTCCTGACGTCTGCTCCATACCACGCGTTGAAGCTTCAATCCCATTGAAGGAACACCTCCTTGCGTCGTCCTTGTTCCTCCCCTCCTGTCGCGGTTGCGTGTGTGCCGCTGGCCTCATGCGAGCAGCCGGTGTTGTCGCACGGCCAGTCGCACCCGTTGCGTTCGCAAATCGTCGCCCACCGTCTATCACCTGCTCCATAGCTCTCCGCTTCAGCCGTCACCTCCCCATTCCCACGCAACACGACCGCTCGTCACGCCATTGCGCTGTTCGCTCTCCTTTGCGCTCCACTTTCGTAATTTTCAAGACTCGTTCGCCATTGCCCATCCTTAGCTTCTTCCCACCCCGCCAGCTCTCTCCCGCCGACCCTCCCGCTCGCTTCCGCAGAGCCTGCGAAAATTCCTGCCCCTCACCTCGTTCGGCGAGTCTTCCCGCTGTCGCATCCGTTGTTCAATTCGTCGCCAGCTTGTCGCCCCCAGCGGGCCCTGTCGTAACGCCTTCTGGTCGACTTGGCTCAGCAGCACCGGTAACTGGCGATTTTGCCGCAGAGAAATTCGTCGCCGCCACTGCCGCCACTGCCGTCGCAGCAGCCGCCGCCGCTGCCGCAGCAGCGTTCGCCCTGGTCGTCTGCTGCCCGCCCGCACTCGCCTCTCCCGCCGCATCTCCTCAGGAGATCGTCCTTCCTCTTGCTACAGTATCCCGTTCTCCGCTCGCTGCCGTGTTGCAAAGCCCGCCCGCTTTAGCCTCGCCGATTCCGCTCGCTGTAGCCTCGCCGATTCCGCTCGCTACAGCCTCGCCGATTCCGCTCCCTGCAGTGTCGGCAATTCCGCTCCCCCCGGCGTCGCCAGTACCGCTCGCTGCATCCGCGGCAATGAGCAGCAGCGGCGTGGAGTGGGAGGTGGTAGTGCCGTCGCTCGTTGGGGTGACGCCCGCCGGCGCTCTGATCGCTGTCACCGCCACCGCAGGCACGCTCTGCCTGGGCTTCGCGCTCTTCATCGCTGTAGGGTGGGTTACTGGGTGCAGGATTGATGGTTGATGGGTCACTGGGGTGGCGGGAGGGGGGCTTACCAGTTGCATGGTTTCTGGGCAACGGATTGTGCAAATGATGGCACGATGACATGGGATGACTTGGGCTGGCTGCTGGCATGCCATGGGATAACTTGTGCTGGCTGCTGGCATGCCATGGGATGACTTGGGCTGGCTGCTGGCATGCCATGGGATGACTTGGGCTGGCTGCTGGCATGCCATGGGATGTTGCTAAGTTCCACCGTGGTTCCACTGTCCCTCCCATGACATCCTTTGCGTCTGCTGCAGGGTGCTGTTCCAGCCGCGGTGGATCATCAGCTGGGTGCGGCAGAACCAGCCACACATACTGTTTGAGCACGTCACTAAAGGTATGCGTCACGATGGTAGGTGTCCGGAGGCATTACCCACACATGCTGTTTGCACACGTCATCAAAGGCATGCGTCACGATGGTAGTTATGCAGAGGTATTAGCCACACATACCACTTGAGCACAAACTGTTCGAACACGTCACCAAAGGTGCACGCCACCAAAGGTGCACGCCACCAAAGGTGCACGCCACCAAAGGTGCACGCCACCATGCCACACTGTGTGTCGGCAGCTTCTTTTGGGAACAATGTGCAGAGAGTGTGAACGAGGCAAGCTCTCACCCACCCACCATCCCTGTCATCTGCCTTGCTCCTCACCCTCCATCCATCCCCCAATCCCCCCATCCCTCCATTCCCCCATCCCTCCATCCCTCCATTCCCCCATCCCTCCATCCCTCCATCCCCCCATCCCTCCATCCCCCATCCCCCATCCCTCCCTCCATCCCCCATCCCTCCACCCCCCATCCCCCCATCCCTCCCATCCCCCCCATCCCTCCACCCCCCTGTTCATGAGGATTCTTAAGAGCACGTGGCAGCTGGCTCACCTTCCCTGTCACTCACCTTCCCTGTCATCTGCCTTGCTCCTCACCCTCCCTCCCTCCATCCGCCCCATGATCTTATCCTCCTGCTCTTGAGGCGCCTAAAAAACGATCCACCATTCCATCCCCCTGTTCCCTCTCCCCGCTGACCAATCAGAGCGCCTGGTCGCGCTGACAATTGATGACGGGCCGAACGGAGAGACAACCCACGAGTACAGTGAGAGAGCAGTTGAGAGGAACAGCATGCAGGGTGAGGGTGATGTCTCCGCCCTGATCTTTCCATTGCATTCTCAGCTTCTGAAACTGCTCTCGGTACTCTCGATACTCTCGGTACTCTCGGTACTCTCGGTACTCTCGATACTCTCGGTACTCTCGATACTCTCGATACTCTCAGGTACTACTCGGCTACTCCTCCGATACTCCGTACTCCGGTAATACTCTCCGATACTCTCGATACTCTCGGTACTCTCGATACTCTCGGTATCTCGATCTCTGGTCTTCGGTACTCTCGGTACTCTCGATACTCTCGGTACTCTCGATACTCTCGGTACTCTCGATACTCTCGGTACTCTCGGTACTTCGGTACTCTCGATACTCTCGGTACTCTCGATACTCTCGGTACTCTCGTACTCTCGGACTCTCGGTACTCTCGGTACTCTCGATCTCTCGTACTCTCGATACTCTCGATACTCTCGGTACTCTCGGTACTCTCGATACTCTCGGTACTCTCGATACTCTCGATACTCTCGATACTCTCGATACTCTCGGTACTCTCGATACTCTCGGTACTCTCGATACTCTCGATACTCTCGATACTCTCGGTACTCTCGATACTCTCGGTACTCTCGGTACTCTCGATACTCTCGATACTCTCGATACTCTCGGTACTCTCGATACTCTCGGTACTCTCGGTACTCTCGGTACTCTCGATACTCTCGGTACTCTCGATACTCTCGATACTCTCGGTACTCTCGGTACTCTCGGTACTCTCGATACTCTCGGTACTCTCGATACTCTCGATACTCTCGATACTCTCGGTACTCTCGATACTCTCGGTACTCTCGGTACTCTCGGTACTCTCGATACTCTCGGTACTCTCGATACTCTCGGTACTCTCGATACTCTCGGTACTCTCGGTACTCTCGGTACTCTCGATACTCTCGGTACTCTCGGTACTCTCGGTACTCTCGTACTCTCGGTACTCTCGGTACTCTCGGTACTCTCGGTACTCTCGGTACTCTCGATACTCTCGGTACTCTCGGTACTCTCGGTACTCTCGGTACTCTCGATACTCTCGGTACTCTCGATACTCTCGGTACTCTCGGTACTCTCGGTACTCTCGATACTCTCGGTACTCTCGGTACTCTCGGTACTCTCGATACTCTCGGTACTCTCGATACTCTCGGTACTCTCGGTACTCTCGATACTCTCGATACTCTCGGTACTCTCGATACTCTCGATACTCTCGGTACTCTCGATACTCTCGGTACTCTCGATACTCTCGGTACTCTCGATACTCTCGGTACTCTCGATACTCTCGGTACTCTCGGTACTCTCGGTACTCTCGATACTCTCGATACTCTCGATACTCTCGGTACTCTCGATACTCTCGGTACTCTCGGTACTCTCGGTACTCTCGATACTCTCGGTACTCTCGATACTCTCGGTACTCTCGATACTCTCGGTACTCTCGGTACTCTCGGTACTCTCGATACTCTCGGTACTCTCGATACTCTCGGTACTCTCGGTACTCTCGGTACTCTCGGTACTCTCGATACTCTCGGTACTCTCGATACTCTCGATACTCTCGATACTCTCGGTACTCTCGATACTCTCGGTACTCTCGGTACTCTCGGTACTCTCGATACTCTCGGTACTCTCGATACTCTCGGTACTCTCGATACTCTCGGTACTCTCGATACTCTCGGTACTCTCGGTACTCTCGATACTCTCGATACTCTCGATACTCTCGATACTCTCGGTACTCTCGATACTCTCGATACTCTCGGTACTCTCGATACTCTCGGTACTCTCGATACTCTCGGTACTCTCGATACTCTCGGTACTCTCGATACTCTCGGTACTCTCGGTACTCTCGGTACTCTCGATACTCTCGGTACTCTCGATACTCTCGGTACTCTCGATACTCTCGGTACTCTCGGTACTCTCGATACTCTCGATACTCTCGGTACTCTCGGTACTCTCGGTACTCTCGATACTCTCGGTACTCTCGATACTCTCGATACTCTCGGTACTCTCGGTACTCTCGATACTCTCGATACTCTCGGTACTCTCGATACTCTCGATACTCTCGATACTCTCGGTACTCTCGATACTCTCGGTACTCTCGGTACTCTCGGTACTCTCGATACTCTCGGTACTCTCGATACTCTCGATACTCTCGGTACTCTCGGTACTCTCGGTACTCTCGATACTCTCGGTACTCTCGATACTCTCGATACTCTCGATACTCTCGGTACTCTCGATACTCTCGGTACTCTCGGTACTCTCGGTACTCTCGATACTCTCGGTACTCTCGGTACTCTCGGTACTCTCGATACTCTCGGTACTCTCGGTACTCTCGATACTCTCGGTACTCTCGATACTCTCGATACTCTCGGTACTCTCGGTACTCTCGGTACTCTCGATACTCTCGGTACTCTCGATACTCTCGATACTCTCGATACTCTCGGTACTCTCGATACTCTCGGTACTCTCGGTACTCTCGGTACTCTCGATACTCTCGGTACTCTCGATACTCTCGGTACTCTCGATACTCTCGGTACTCTCGGTACTCTCGGTACTCTCGATACTCTCGGTACTCTCGGTACTCTCGGTACTCTCGGTACTCTCGGTACTCTCGGTACTCTCGGTACTCTCGGTACTCTCG